AATTAAATATAAAATTGTGAAATAATAAAAAACACACTAATACCCTAAATATTTGGTTTAATGACAAACACCCAAATCATCCACAAAAACTAGGTGGAGATTTGACAGAAAATTAATAGGGAGTGCCCTAAAAGTCTCATTTTTTAGTTGAAATGGAATATTTGTATTTTGTTCCATGCATGCTTCTCCACCTGATAGAAACATACACAGCTTCTTCTTCTTCTATTCTTTTTTTTTACTTTTTTTTTTCGTTCTTTTTTTTTCTTTTTTTTGGCTGAAGTGGTTCTGTGCAAGAAAACTTCTCATGCAATTAGCTTGTGAAATCTAATCACCATTGTCCATCAACCTTGATTAAGCTTGGTACCCATTGTAAAGTTATAACAAGGCTGCTAAATTGACGTAAGAATTATACGTGAAGTCATAACCAGATAATAGGCTTCTCGGATGAAATAGACCTTTGCAAAGAAACATTTCATGCATTTGCAGATACTATAAAAAATTCCATAAAGAAAATGGGAAGCAATAAATATGTAGTTAAACTTGCTATGTTGGATAATGAGTTTCGATATTTTAATTTTGATTTTAGAAATTATTTTTAATTTTATCATTTATAGACATTTTATCATATTTATATTTTTCATTTTGGACAATTAAAATTCAAATACATCAATCTCAACAAGAACGCGTTCCATAGTAAATAGTAAATAGTATATTTAAATTAATAAAATAAAGGTGAGGTTTGTATCAAGCGTGCTCCTCGTACTATAAAAGTAAGGCGCACCTCTAAATTTTGTTTGGAGATGTAGTTTTGGTGTCAAAAACTTTATGATAGCTTGAAAATCTATTTTTATCCCTAGTGATGAAATTTAAAATTTTAAAAATAGTACCAAATTGAACAGATTTATAAACAGATGAAATCTTGAAAATAGATGGTCCAGATAATTTGGTACAAGATTTACTATTTTTAGGACTTGAAAATCTTATTTTTCTTCATATACATGCATCTTGAGGTTGAGATGGTCCAATGGGATGGATTTCTAGCATCAGAACATTCTCTTGTACAGGATTTTTGAGGGCACCTTACTTCAATACTACAAGGTTGACACCTTATATTAAAGTCCAGATAATTATCTAATAAATTCCCAAGTAAAAAGACATGCAATAATATCCTGATAAAAACCCCAATGATAATATCCTAATGATGATAATTGTCACTAAGCTTATAATTTCCAAAACAAAATTAAAGTGAAAGACAATAAATAGTTTACAAATACACACACATAGGGTAAGAAACCATAAGAGTGCTGCAATTTTTGTCATACTTTCCCCCACTAACCTTCTCTAATCAAGCTCCGGATGGAAATAAATGAATAATTCCTAAACAACAAGATGTATTGCATAACTAGAAATCCCAGCTAAATTAAATTTAATTTCACCATTAACCCACAACAGGCTTCAATGAATTCATTCCTATAATACAAAATTTTTCATAGGCCTTGGTTTCTTTGCTGTTAAAAAGCTTTTACTTGGCAAATTAAAGGAACCAAAAATAAGGAATAACTGCCAAATGATTTAACCTAATTTGGTGTATAATTTTACAGAGCTGTGATTTCAATTGCTGTAGTTAAAAAGAAAAGAAAAAAAAGAAAGAACAGAAGAAGAAAAACAAAATTATTGAAGAAACTCAGCCTCTCGTTTACACAGACAAGGAAGCATCTAATACTCTGTTTCCAACAGTCCATCAATGAGACCAAACTCCAGAGCCTGAAAAAGTGATAGAACTAATGAATAGATAAACCAACGAGCTCTACAACATAGAGCTAATGAATAGACAAAAAACAAAAATTAGTCATCGAAGTATTCAATAGAAAGCTTGATGTGTGGAAAACCTTAATCATGGGCTGATAGAATCATGTTTGCTAAATCGACACTCGCAAAGTTCCCGGTTTCGCATTTGGATGTGCAAGGCACTATAGTGAAGCACTTGGAAAGCTTTGTGAAGGCTTTCTATGGGGAGGACCTATGAGAAAAAGAAAATTTGGACTGTGGCTTAGCAAATTAAAGCCAATGAATCTGAATAAGTGGTGGTAGAGATGCTCAGTGGAGAGAAAAGTTACAGAGAGAGGTATTGATCTGCAAGTATGGTCAGAATGAGACATGATGGATGATGCTTACGAAAACCAATCCAAAGGAATCAGAGGTCATCCTCATTATGGCGTGCTATTGATTCTATTTGATCCATGCCCCTTAGAAATTGTCGCACAAGGTGCCAGCACAGCTAGGCAATTCCCCATTAAGGATTGCCTTCCCAGAGTTAGATGAGAACGAAACAAATCAAGGAACAACAGTTCAGGAGTTGGTGACTGGTGCAGGTTACAATGCCAGCTGGAACTTCACTTCACTAGCATAGAAGATTGGAGGACTGCCACTCAAGAATTGACGGAAATACTGGGACAATTGCAAAATCTCTAATTTGGCCCCAGAAGGGAGGATTCCATGGATGGGGAGCCTAACCAGAGTAGAAACTTCCCTGTATGGTCAGAATACTCCTTAATTTACTATGATAGCCTGGTCTCTCCCATTATCATTACAAACAGATAGGGAAAGTCCCTGCCCCATCGAAAACTCAAGCATTTGTCTCGCTTGCCACACTGAATAGCATACAAACAACAGATATCTTACAAAAACACGGCCTTCCTCTTCCAAATGTATCATGAGCGAATCGAATGGTGAAGCTGTTGCCATCAACCTTTTATCGTTCCAGCTGTTCTCAACCCTCCCCCCCACCCCCCCATCCACAAAAAAAAATGGAATTCTCGGGCACCAATTTCTTTAGCTAAGATATGGAAATTATGAATAGAAAAGCACAATAGAATGTTCAAAGATAACATTTTGAGCCTGAACAATCTGATATCAAAGCTTAAGTTGGCCATCATATCCTGCTCCAAAGCGACTAATGAATTTTGCGGTTTTTCTCACTCAGGTTTTCAGATTGACCTTTCAGGGATAAGTAGAGAAATTAACCCGAGTCTATTCGAGCCAACCAGTGGTCTCCACTCTCAGAAGGCACTCTACAATTGAACTTTAATGGAAGTTCATTGTGGAATCCTGGTCTCTCAAGAATGTGTGGCATATTCAGGGACTATGCAGGTAAAGCTTTAATGTGATACTCTGGTCCTTTAAGTTAGTCTGCTATTAACGAAGCAGAGTTCAGATCCCTCTCACAGGGTATATCCACCTGATCCTGATAATTGAAGGAGACTCTCACCCAACTGTCAGATGGGTGATTGGGGAAGGTAAATGACCATGGAGTTTACAGGTAGAAATATTAGACATTATATCAGGTTTACGAGCACTAGTGAAGCATTCATTTAGGGAGACAAACAGGGAAGCTCATGTACCAACTCATTCTCTTTGTAAAGAGAACATGCATGTGCATATCCAAGTTTGACTATAAATAAGGCTAAAAGTTAACAGTTCAAAGGAAAACAAAAAAGAGTTTAGAGAAAGAGATAGAGGTTTTGGTTAAGCATGAATTGATACCTCAGCAGCTGAGAAGAAACGATCCCTCTCTGTGTAGTGTTGCACCTTCTCCAGTGGTTGACCACAAAAAGCAGCATACATTTGGTCAATTTTCTGCATACTCATGCCAAAAAATGAATGTTAGAGAAGGACGATGCCGAAAACCTCAAATAGCTTAGCCATAATGAAGATCCTGATGCATGATCACTAAATCCTATTGCAAAAGTATAGCATGCACAAGCTGCATATGGTGTATGGTACATAGCAAAAAGAAGAATCCACCATCCATTTCAACAAAAAATAGTGGAGAATACCCAAGTTTCGAAGTACAGAAATTTACAGAGATAAAATTCAGCTACTCTTGGTCATTGAGAAAGGTTAGTGGATACTGCAGTTGTTTACCATATACCATAGACAATCTTTCAATGTCAGTATACTTTCCCATCTCACTCAAATCTCTTACACCTAAGATTAAAAGTTTAAGCTCATTCCTTAATCAATTTTGGTTCAAGTAAATGACAAAGATGAGAAATTGATAAGAATAGAAACTAGACTTGATCTTAGCCAAAGGCTAAGGTCTATTAAGCTTGGATTTGGTCGATTAAATGTTGATGATTGCAAAACTATGTTTCAAGTTCGATTCCTCGCGGAAAAAAGGAAACAAAAAAGAAGAGAAACTGACATGGCGAGATTGAACAGCTTCATTGACCTGGCGTTTCACATCCTCCACGTTACCCTACAAGAGGAAATATCCAATAATTTAATGATCAAGCTAAAAATATTAAATAATTGCCAATTTGTTTATTTGAGAAACTCTTTTTTTCTAGCGTTTGGCATGACGCCCACTCGCCCAGGCAGGCGTGCCCTCAGCCTAATAATAATTGCCAATATGAGCATACATTTTAAGCGAACTTCCACATAACACATTCAGATGCTACCTATGTACTATGCATATGCCACAGCAAATAGATGAAATGGTTAGGTCATATACAGTGTTTCAAAAAGCGCTAGGTGGGTCCTAGGCGGCCTGGGGGGTCCAGGCCGCCCAACGCCTAGGCGGGCTCCCAGAACCTGGGCGGTCCAGTCGAATCCAAGAAGGATGCCCATTTAATAAAAAAATGATATATAACATACAAAATAAAAATTAGGTATTTAGGGTACTTACTTTGTGTTTGATTGCTCAATCTTCAAACTTCCACCTCAAAGATGCTTCTAAGGACTCAAAATCTTCTAAAAAGCCCCCCAATAGATTTATAAAACATCAAAAATTAAGTATAACATCAATGGGTGATGTTTCGATCAATTTTTGTCAACTTTGAGAAACCCTTCGATCCTAAAGAAACCACCAAGAACTAGTTTTTTGGAGGCTTTCTCTCTCTAAAATGGGCTCCAATAAGTTTTAGGTTTCAAATGAACTTGAAACAATCCTTCAAAACCTTTATATTTTAAAAAAAAATCAATACAAAATAAAAAAAAAAGTTCCGCCTCTAGACGGGGCACAGACCCTAGGCGACCACCTTGGGCTGGGCGCTGGGCGCCCACCTAGGCGGGTTCCGTACCGCCTAAGCAGCCGCCGCAGGGACTGCCACCCAGATTGACGGCCTAGGCCTGGGCAATGCACCCAAGCCTTCTGGATCGCCTAGGCACTAGGCGGTCCGCTTGTTGAATCACTGGTCATATATCACATAAGAATTCACTCTCACTCTTGTCTTAATAGTTAGGTCATATAAAAGTTCTGATTCTGCCCATATCCATATCCATACAACAGACATCCCACCCCTTGTCATAACAATTAGGTTCTAAGGGCCCCAAAACTATGGGTTGCCGAGTTTGATATCTACCCTACTTTATATATATATATATATATATATATATATGGAAAAGACTAACAAACACCGGCAACTATAATGAATAGTAATATAGGTGGAATCCCAATCGTCAGATCTTCAT